AATATTTGTCAGACCTTTTGCCAAAAATTTAAAATGATAAAAAAGTATACTTCTAATGTACCTTAAGAGTGGAAAAAATGAAACCATTCAGGTGGCTTGTTTTGCCATAAGTATATACTTTTAATTTGTATGTAATAAAGTTTATTATTTTCATCTCTCTTCTTTTAAATTTGAAACCATCTAAACATCATATTGTAGTGCTTTAACTCTGTCTGCTAGAAATGCCAAGCTTTTTTTTTCTTTTGTTCTCATGATGCCAGTACTCAAAACATTGTTTCATGAAAACAAATAAGGAACAAAATAATGATGGATCTTGTCGTTTTTATGGGTCTTTTGACAGGTAGTGTTTTACCGAGAGACTTCCTAATGTATGATGCTACAAGCAACATAATAGTGTATGCTGTCTGCCACAAACATGCTATAAAAAAGCAATAGAATAGACTTATTTTTAACTCAAAATTTGACCCTCAAAACTGTGTGATTAAAATCATTTTTCATGTTGGAAACTGACTGGATTCAGTGACTAAACAGAGCTTTCATGATCCTCTCAGAAATTTATGTTTGACCTGCAGATGTACCCTTATCCCTATGGATTGAAAAAGCACATCACAGAGTTCATAGTTACACCGAGAGCAGGTGCTAAATCCGTAAAGGTGTCTAATAGGAAAAATTGAATACAAATTGGAAGCAACTTCCACAGGGTTTCTACTTCCATTTGCTATGTTTCCCCTTGTTCCCCTTTATTCTCTTTTTGTGTTCTCTTTCTCTCTCATCTATAGTAGTTACTGTGTCATTTACAGTATCAGGCAAAATTAGATTATTTTGGCTGGAAGTCTTTTACAGCAAAAATGACTGTCCTAAACTGGCTACTTTATCTCACTGATGTTATTTATTTTTAGTTCCTTCCCTTATTGTCTGTTAAGTTCATAACGAAGCCTCAGCGCGAAGCATATTGCAGCAAAATTGTGTAAACCAGAGGTCTGTATCAGTGAACTTCTGTGACTTCCTTCCCCCCGCCGGTATCATCTCAGCATGCAAAAGCCCTCCTCTAAAGCACATGACCAAACTTATCTTCCCTCTCTCGCTTTATATCAATCCCTCTATCTGTTCTGAGAAGGTCTCTGAGGGCCCTTTTATGCAGCGAGGTCCTCCTCCAAAATATGCAGAGCTCAGATTAGAAAAAAGCACAGGAAATGACACTGGCCATTCAGATCAGATACTGTATCAACTGAGAGAAGAGGCAGAAGTGACAGAACTCGGGGTACATTTGAAGAAAAGCAAAGCAAACAGAGCTGATGAAAGAAGAACATGCGAAAGGGAGAAAGGACGAGAGTTAAGCTGGCTGTGAAGTCTGTCAGGCCCCCAGTCACATGCAGATTGTAGACGTGACTGAGGGCCGTCCGTGGAGATTTCCTATTCGGATCCGAGTCCAGCAACTGCAGCACGCTAATTACTGACCTGGACGGCTTCTGTTTGTTTTATAGTCTTCCTTTGCAGGAAAAAAATAAGTTCCTGTCTCTGTAGTCAGAGAGAGATAGAGAAAGAGAACAAGAGTTGTAGTGTGATCGGACATTAGAAGCAGTAGGGTAATTTGTTTGTACGCTGAAGGGTTGAGTTCTCATTCACAGTCAAGAAATCAAGATCTGCAAGAGATTAAGAGGTAACAAACTTATTTTCATCATAAGTTTGAGTGTGTTTGTGTTTTTTCACATATCTGGACACTAATGTGTATAATGACAATGGTTTACAAGTTGTATTACAAGGGAATGGTGAATTATGAGGATATTGCTGATGTTCATTTTTTTCAAAAGGCTTATAAGTGTTTTTTTCAAGAAAGTAAAACTGTAAAGTTTCCTGAAAGGGGTAGGGTTAGGTGTTGGGTTGCGGTTGAGCAATGTAAAATAGAGTTTGTACAATATAAATCAATGAAAACCTATGGAATGTCAGTACAATTCACAAAAAAAACTATCTTGTCATTAAAACATAACTGTCATTAGATATATGAATTAATATCAATAGTCAGTTATTTAATTAAGATTTTTGCAATCCCAAAAAAAACCTTCCAGGCCATTTAGGGTTAGGATGACAAAAAACGTAATTCATATTGCACCATCAATGTAAATGTCTCTAGTAAAAGCTAATTGCCATGCTTAACAATGCTTTAGCTTTTTCCCTCAGGCAGTGGGTGGTTTGGAGCATGCTAGCATATAACGCAGGAAACCACTGATTCAAAGCCTGTCCATTTCCCCTCCTTCCTGCTCTCAGAGTATTTTCCTCGGCGTGTGCTCGTCTCCTCTGTCCCGCTTTAGTGTGCTATTAAAACTGACACACAAGGTCCAAAAGTAAGTTCCTGGCTTTAATCTCACTCTCTTTCTCTCTTTCTCACCTGTCTGTTGATGTCTGCATCTTTGGAGGGCCTGTGTTCATTCAGTGTGGCTCAAATGGAGAGAGATGGGGAAATGATCATTAGAGTAAGCCGGAGTAAAGGAGAACTTTTACAAAGACTGAATTGATAGAACATGACATAAAGTTTTGCTAAAATACATTCCTGACTGTAAGTTTTAAACTTTACATTCCTATTATGGGTTGACTTTTTGACTTCTACCAGCGAGCAACCACCCAGAACACCCTAGAATTATAGGAATGACATTTTGGACCACTCACACTTTCTTCAGATAGTATAAAAAGGCCAGCTGTAACATTCTGGCATAAGAGACTCCCTAGCATTATGGGGAACACTTCTGCACTCACAATCACCTACCAGTGCCTTAGTAAGCACATAGTAGCACCATCGTGAAGAGAAAACCATAGCAACCGACTACAACTAGCTTTATGGCACCGACTTCTGTAGAAGATGGCATGTCTCATAATAACCAAACAATGCATTAATAATCCACTAGCAAGACACTAGCAACTAACCAAGTCCCTAAGCAATCAATTCAATAACATAAAAATAACTTAAATTACTGCATAGTCAAACAAAACTCACAGTAACATAGAAATATCATGGAAACTAAGTAGACCACTCTAGAAACACTTTAGCAACGAGCACTTTTTGCACTCTAGCAATAAAGTATTTGCTGTATGCCATTTTGCATAGGTCCTTGTAACCACCTAGTTCTTATGGTAACAGAGTTTGTGGAAAACCTGGTGGAAAAGTTTTTAAAAAGCAAATAAATCACAATTCTTTTGTAAAAGTGATGGAAATTTGTTTTAAATATATCTGTGTACTTAAATATTTTTGAGATGATAATATTTTTAAATACAATTGCATGGTAGAACTTCATCTCTTTATGTCACGCTCTCTGTGTGGGGTAAAAAAGCAACTTGCAGTTTTAGCTTCTCTCTTTCACTCGCATTCATTGTAATTTAAGCTACATTTTGAGTGTGGTCTCAAACTACTAGGGTAAGATACTGTAAGTGCTAAAAGCTAATTTGTACTATTTTTATGAGTCTTATAAAAAACACAAGCCAACATTTCAAAAATATTGTCACAAACAGCAAGATACTTTCTAAAACGCTTTTTTACAGATATAAAAGTAAACAAACATCACCCTGGCAGTGAGCTGCAGCAATCTAGCATCATTGGACCATCTTTGCTTAGGCAAACACCATTCACAATCACTTAGCAATAACATTGTAAGTAGTCAGGTGACTTTGATGACCCCCTCAGCAGTCTAGTAGTGGCATTCACAATTATTCACTAGCAAACACAACTTACAACCACCAAGTAACCAACCAGACCACTTTAGTTTCCACCTAGCAACTAACCAGAGTAAACACCCTATTAATGCGTAAGTAACCACACTATTAAAGATGATGATACACGGTCGATGATACTCAGTTTCCTGTTCTTAGCTGACAGGAGTGGCACCCGGTGTGTTCTTCTGCTGCTGTAGCTCATCCGACTCAAAGTTGGAAGTGTTGTGTGTTCAGAGATGCTCTTCTGCATACCTCAATTGTAACGAGTGGTTATTTGAGTTACTGTTACCTTTCTATCAGCTCGAAACAGTCTGGCCATTCTCCTCTGACCTCTGGCATCAATAAGGCATTTGCACCCACCAAACTGTAGCTTACTGGATTTTTTCTTTTTTTTCTTTTTCTGATCATTCTCAGTGAGACTCTAGAGATGGTTGTGCGTGAAAATCCCAGTAGATTAGCCGTTTCTGAAATACTCAGACCAGCCTTTGGCACCAACAACACTGCCACCTTCAAAGTCACTTAAATCATATTTATTTCCGATTCTGATGCTTGGTTTGGACTGCAGCAGATCGTCTTGACCATGCTAAGCACTCTCAGTTTTCAAAAATTGACACTTATTAACACTTATATGGTCCAGGGTCTCTCACTCACACACACATACTCAGTAGGGCCTGTTTGTAAGAATCGAAAGAGCCATTTAACCTACCCTAATCTAAGACTTGATCTTGATCTTGTCCATAAGGAATTAACTAAATGGCTGCATCATAAACACATCAGTCAAAAGACACAGACAAAGGTCTTTCTTTCAATCCCATGTGACGAATGGCCTTGCCCTTGTGCTCGGTACATGATGAATGTGTCTAAAGCCTTCTGTGTGATGCAGGATTTGGGACTGACGGCTAGAGTAATAGTCGTCTGAGGAAAAAATCGATGGGGTTCATGGGAAATAAGTGCGATGACAATGAGGGCAGCTTGGCCTGCGCTGTGTTTACTTTGAGAAATGGTTGCCCTCACACACCTGCCGCGTCGCACCCATAAAGACAAACAGGCAGCGGGAGGTGATGGCAATGTTTCACTGAAGATGATGGAGAAGGATGTCATGGGTGGATGTTTATCCTTGTCATTCTGCCTCTGAGATGAAATAGTTTGTCTAGGTGGGGAGGAACTCTCAGTTGGATACCGATTGTTTTTTCCCCACTCTTTTTATTGCGTGTATCGCCTTTTATGTGATGTGTTTATGTGTTACCTATATATTTATCTGTTATGACTCTATTTTCTGTCATCTTGTCTGTTTGCAGGACAAGCGATGTGTTGAAATTGCCCATTCTCCATCACTGGATGTGTTTTTACCAGAGGATGAGGACAACCCTTACGAGTCAGTGGCTACAGCTGTCACACGCAAGCCCTGCTCTCTAGACATCAACCTTCACAACGCCTGTCCTCGCAACGGTTAGTAACTGCAAATCGATGGAGGAAAAAAATCAATCAGCAGGTGGCTGATGTAAATAATCTGCTCTCTAACTCATGGTTTGCACGTATTGGAGAAAACTCACTGTTTACACTACATGAAGTCATGAAACCGAAAATCAATTTTCCAATTCCTCAATTTACTTTCAAACAAGCAATTCATTTAGTTTAAAAGAGCAGGATTTTTGATTATAATGTGAAATGTTCATAAACATATAATGAATATAATATAATAATAATTTAATAATTATATAAAACATATTATAAATATTTAAGACACAGTACACTCTATGCACAATGGATTAAATCAATAGATAAGTATAGTATTATTTTATTAGTTTTTATTTCTTTTGTTTATTATTAGTTATTCTAGTATGTTAGGTTTAAGCTAAATGAAAATTAGACATTTCAGTAGACTTTACAATAATGTTTTATTTATTAGCATTAGTTAAATAAATAAGCAAACAAACTAATGATGAAAAATATTGTGAAAACATTAGTAAATGTACATTAAAACATGTAGTACTGGGATGAGCCTGTTTCAGAGGTTGTTATGTAGGAATAACATACTTTGGTATGAAAACATACTTTTGGTATTCCCCTCCAGACAGCTGAGTAATAATATTATATAAAAACATGTTCCAACATTAATTTTCCTTTGGCTTAGTCTCTATTTATCAGGGGTCGCCACAGTGGAATGAACTGCCAACTATTCCGCCATATGTTTTACGCAGTGAATGCCCTTCCAGCCGTAACCCAGTACTGGGAACACCCACACACTCTTGCATTCACACACACAATCATTAACTATAGCTAATTTATTTAATCCAATCCACATACAGTTGAAGTCAGAATTATTAGCCCCCCTGTTTATTTTTTTCCCATAATTGTTTTTTAATGGAGAAAAGATTTTCTTCAACACATTTCTAAACATAATTATTTTAATAACTCATTTCTAAAAATTTATTTATTTTATTTTTGCCATGATGACAGTAAATAATATTTTACTAGATATTTTTCAAGACACTTCTATACAGCTTAACTTGACATTTAAAGGCTTAAGTAGGTTACCTAGGCAGGTTAGGGTAATTAGGCAAGTTATTGTATAACGATAGTTTATTCTGTAGACTATCAAAAGAAAATATAGCTTAAAGGGAATAATCATTTTGTCCTTAAAATGTATTTTAAAAAATTAAAAACTGCTTTTATTCTAGCCGAAATAAAGCAAATAAGACTTTTTCCAGAAGAAAAAATAGTATCAGACATACTGTGAAAATTTGCTCTGTTAAATATCATTTGGGAAATATAAAAAAAAAAAATCTAATGGGGGCTAATAATTCTGAATTCAACTGTATAGCGCATGTCTTTAGACCAGAGTTGTCTAAACTCTGCTCCCTTGTCCTGCATAGTTTAGTTCCAACTTCCTTCCACACGCCTGCCTGGAAGTTTATAGTATACCTAGAAAGAGATTGATTAGCTAGTTCAGGTGTGTCTAATTGGTGTTGGAACCAAAATATGCAGGACATCGCCCCTCCAGGACCGAGTTTGGGCACCCCTGCTTTAGACTGAGGGGGAAATCAAAGCACCCGGAGGAAACCCACCCCAACACGGGGAGAACATGCAAACTCCACACAGAAATGCCAACTGGCCCAGCCGTGACTCGAACCAGAGACCTTCTTTCTGTGAGGCGACAGTGCCAACCACTGAGCCACTGTGCTGCCCCATGGTCTAACATTCTGCCTGGATGAATCTTAAGATATACTATAATAAATGTATTGCTCCTTGCTGAATAAAATGAGTCAATGCATTAACTAATGAAATATTTTCGCAAAGTGTTTTCATGTTTTCTTGGCAACGAGTTTTATTTTATTTGAGTAACAATGTTTTTCTTTAATGCTCACCAATACCTTTATTCAGACCCTCCAGAATTTCATGATCTCTGAATTTAACAGACAATCAAGCAAATTTTTGTGTAGGAATTGCCTCAGATTTACTACACATTTTGGGCAGACAGGACACTGTTCAAATTATTGCCACACAACAGAGCGCACCATCTGCTTAGTTTTACATTGAAAAACATTATAGTATTCATGAATAGAATGTGCTCATCTGGTATATATGCAAAGCCTCGAGTTGTCAATGTACATACACGATTTACTTCTGGTGTGTGACTTGTGTCATGTGACAATATTGCTACCACACTACAACTAGACCTTCTATATTCAGTAAGGCTGCAGATTTATAGTTTTAGTATCGATATCACAATTTGCACATCCACAATAGTCACATCGCAAAGATTTGCAATGTTGAGTTTTAAATTTAGTTGACCAGGAGCTACAGAAGTGTATTTAATCACTGTATTTATACAGAATGTATATGATTTATGCAAAAATACAACTTATAATTACTTTAAAATTTTAGTTTTTTTGTCTAGTTTAACTATCTATATTACAAAGCAAAATCAAGATTATTTTACTTACCCCAGTAGCAGAAAGTTTAAGCAAAGGCTCTTAATTTTTACTGATTTGTTCTGATGTTGAAAACAAAACATATTTTTACTTGCTCTAAGAATTTTTAGATGTTCAGACTAGAAATGAGACAAAGCAAAGTAAGAAAAGCATTTTTGTTTGCATTGCTTTAATTTAATTTGTATACATGAATACTGTTAGACTCCCCAGAAAATAATCAATTCATATTGCATTATTTATTGCAGAAAAATGTAATATCCCAATATTATATTATATTATATTATATTATATTATATTATATTATATTATATTATATTATATTATATTATATTATATTATATTATTTATTGGACAAACAGGTCATTAGTTTCCTATTTGCCTCCTCCTAGTGTTCATTTATGTGAGTGTAGTATTCCATCTACTGCCGCAGCTCTTTTTCCTCTGGCATTTTTCCTGCACTACGGGTTAAGGTTGTCCTGGAAACTACAGCTTTATCCTTACCCAGAGAGCTTGGTGAGTCACCTGCAGGTTTACATGTAGACGCAGTGAGCCGTGTTTGCCTGTAGGCCAGTGATTCACACCTGATGCAGTCACTGTTTATCTCCAAGACTGCTCTATTAACAGAGCAGCGCAGTCACTTCATTTGAGTGTGTGTCTGACTGAAAATATTTCACGTGGTACTGTACTTTAACGCTGTGTTTGTGCGCGTGCTTGCTTGAATGTGGATTTTGAGCTCTATTTTTGGCCCTTCGGCATCTCCACAAGCATGAAATCACAGCTTACAGGAGTCTATTCTCTGCCTGATTATAGTCAACACTGCAGTTTTGTGCCGCAGGAAAGCACACGACCAATCAAAACACTCACACCGGTACATCCCAAAATAAATAGAAATGCTTTCACATCACCATTAGGATGAGTTCATCACTGAATAGAGAAGCTGAATGTGAAAAGTCTGAATTTAAGTAGTTGTCAAATAGACATGGGCCGGTGTAAAACTCTGACAGTATGATAACCCTAGATAAAAATATCACAGTTTCACAGTTTTGTGATTACTGCTCTAAAATATATTCTATTATATATATATTATATATATATTATATTATATATATATTAAATGTCTGGGTAAAAAACAACAACTTTCCCCCCGTTGAACAATATATTTAGATTTTTATAAACATTTAATTTACTTTGGAACAGTAAACATGTCAGGCTAAATAGTTAAACTACAGTAAATCATTGACTTCTGCTGTCTTCATTAGTTTCAAAAGCACAGATTTCTTTACTTCTTTGGAGATCTTTCTCATCTTTGGATGTAAAGTCAAGCCACTGCATTGTTCAGCTCTATAGCATGCTGGATGTTGGTTTATTAGCGATTTGTTTTTCAGATGTTAGCTGAATCGCGGCCTGACCAATAGCTTTTGATGTGGAGATATTGTTGCCCTAAAATCTAACGAAAATAGTCTCACAACACACACACAAAAAACTTAAATATATACCTTAAAAACGGTATAACAGAAAATGTTTTAAAACTTAGGGCCCTATCACACACACCTGGCGCAATGTGGCGCAAGGCGTGACGCAATAGTTTTTTTCTAGTTTCAGCTTGGTTCAAGAGTAGTTTTGAGGCGTTGCGCCATATGTGCGCTCATTGGCGTTCTGGTCTAAAAAGGAAGACGTTCTGAGGCGCATTGCTGGCACATTGCTATTTTGAGAAACTATAATGGATTTTTCAATAGATCAAAACAAACCGGGTCTAAAGTCCAGCGCAGAGATGCACCTCGCTTATATAGGATATAATAAGAATATATTTAGGATATAAATTTAAGGATTAAATTTTACAAAACATTATTTTCTAGCCTACATAAATATGAAAAACCACATCTTTTATGCCTTCTTCATCTCGGGAGGCTTTTTCAGTTCATTCATGGCAATTTGCTTTTGTGTAATGTTATTATTATTAGCAGTATTATTTATTATATTCATATTTATATTTGTTTTATTAAAAACAAGCTTATATTTTCCCACCTGCAGGTTTTAAACCATATGGGGCACAGCATGTGTTTTAGGATATTACTCAGGTTTTTGAACACACTTGGTTATTATTGTACATTTATTTGTTTGCTGGACATTAGAACTGAATTTAGAAATAGTTTTGAAACAAATATTTGTGCCTAACAAATGAAATAATTAATCATGGGCTAATTGATGTCTGTGCGTAAAGGTTTCCCTATCCACGAGAGCGAAAGTAAAAGTAGATCATTTATCTGTCATTCTCGCACGGTAGATGCTCTGTTTAACTGTTTTCTTGCTAGTAAAATGCTCAGTTTTTACACTCACACTTACTTTACGTCATGTAAATAGCAAATGCTCTTATGGCGCGATGCAACTGGCTCTTAAAGGGAATGGGAGATGATACTCTGATTGGTTTATTCTCAAAACACACCTATAACTCATAATGAAGATAAACCCAACCCTTTTAGACCATGCGCCACGGCGCAAAGCAGATTTTTCCGT